AACGAGTACGCGCGCATAGTACTTTTTGCAGCGGATGGCGGGGGGGGGTCGAACCCGGCTTGGCTGGGATTGTATGAATTCAATGCATATTCAGGACGGACAATGGGGCGGAATCCTATGTAAATTGCAGCACAAAGAATGTACCGGTAAAGCCGGGGAGGGATCCGAATTCTTTTCTACGAAAGAGAATCGACCACGCTCGCACGAGCAAAATTTCCACCGACAAGTGGCGGCGACGGGTGGCGGCAACGGGCGGCGACACGCGGGCCGGACTGCCAGCCAGGCCCGAGCGAGCGGCGGCGACGGGCGGGGACGAGCCAGCTGGACCGCCAACCAGGCCCAGCCACTTAGGAAATTCGCAGGAATCCGTCAGGTGAGCGTTTTCTGATTCGGCGTTTTGACATTGGGCGAAAAGGGGGGGGAAGGGGGGGTCTGGCTCCGGACCTCTGCTTAGCGCGACTGTTTGCAACCGTGAACCCCACGGGCAAGACTCTACCGGCTTGAAAATGCACCAAGAACAACCAAGATCTACTCCATGAAAAGGGGGAAGGGGGGGGCGAGGGTCCGCGCCGACCAGCAAAACAATGAATTCGCCGGCCCAACGGGCCAGAGGCGTGCTAAGATCTCCAGTAACTGGTTAACAATATTTCTAATTCGCGCGCGCGGAACGGCCCCTGGGGGCCCCTGGACGAAAAGTGCCCCAGCAAGGTCCCGGGAGAAGCCACCAGAGCACTCCAGGGGAGGGCCATTTCTCGACACCCCTCACGAGGATCGTGGCCTCCGAAGGGGGAGCCGCAATCGACTACCCCCCCCCCGCCCCAAGAGGCCCCCAAGAGCCCCCAAGAGGCCCTGGGGGCCCCCAGGACGCCGCCAAGGAGCCCCAAGAGACTCCCGAGAGACTCCCGAGAGGTCCCCAAGAGGCCCCCAAGAGGCCCTAAAGAGGGCTCCAGGGCCGGCGGCATGAGCGAAGCGATTAAAGAAGAAAACGATCACAAGTGCAAGCACTGTGGGGGGAACAATTGGTACTGGCAGACGCGACTTGAGACGACAAAGAGACCAGCTGTTCAATGAGCGTGACACGTGCGAGCGCGCGCGCGTGCAGTCCCACATGCTGGGTTGGTTGTTCAATATCCGCGCGTGCGCAACGCAAGTGTTTGCTGACAAGAACGGTGCCCGCTCAGCGCGCGCGGGTGGCCTGCACGACATTGCTTGATCGCGAAGGCAGGGCTGGGCCTAAACGTTGTTTTTCGTTATGTGTTCGTTTTGTTGTTCGCTTTGCTCTACCTGCTTTCCTGTACCTCCCTCCCAAAACGAAAAACAAAGCACGGCCGAAGTCCAGCAAAACAGCGTTTGGGCCCAGCCCTGCGCGAAGGTGCACTGCACATGGGAAACGCCTGGGGCTGGATGCGGCCACGCAGGGCCAAGCCTGGCTTGGAGTCAAAAGTGCCTGTGGTGAGATTTGGGGGTAAGCCGGACTGAGCTGGGAAAAGAAGAGTGATACCAGGACAAGGCAGATCAAACGTCAAGCAGGGGAGGGCAAAAAAAAACAAGGGTAAATTGAAATGGTACGGAGCAGAATCCGCCACCTTGCAGCTAGGCACCGAGTGCTGCAGTGTCAACTCAGGTCCTTTGTAGCCCTCTGTATTTAGACAGACCCTTCTCAGGGGCCCACAGCCCCAGGTGTTGGGCGCTTTTGGACGCGTGCGGGGCTTGCATGGCGGCGAGCACGCAGGGGTACGGGGAGGGGGAAGGCTCCCTAGAAGCACCCTGCTTCTTAGAGGGACCAGGCCTTACAGAGAAGGCCCGCGCCTTCCAAGAAGCAGGGTGTTTCTAAGAAGCCTTACCCCCCTCCCCCCACCCCCCTTTGCGCGTGGCCGACTTGTCCCAGGACCATTGGGGCTTCCCGCAGGACTCCTCCTGAGGACCGAGGGCCCCAAGACGGGACGGGAGGGCCCCAAGAGGATCCCAAGAGGCCGCCCAGACGGTCCAAGATGGCCCCGAAAGGGCCCAAAAGCGCTGCAGGGCTGCCCGAGGGTTCCAAGAGGAGCCCCAAGAGGACCCCAAGAGGCCCGAATCGCCGATTTCCTCCGAATGTTTCACTGATTGCAGCGTTCTGTTTCTGTTCTGCATTCCACGCTCCAAAACGGCCCAAGAGGCCCCAACGCTTTCCCTGAGACGACCCAAGAGGGCCCAAAAGACGGCTCAAGCGGGAGCCACCGAAAACGGCCCAAGAGGCCCCCAAAACGAACCAAGGAGGCCTCAAGAGGGGCCAAGGAGGGGGAACACTAACTCATGTCAAGCCTGCACGGTTTCCCCAGGGGCCGTAGGCGACCCGAGGAGGAGGAGGAGGAGGAGGAGGAGGAGGAGGAGGAGGAGGAGGAGGGAGGAGGAAGAGGAGGAGGAGGAGGAGGAGGAGGAGGAGGAGGAGGAGGAGGGTCAGGGGGAGGAGGAGGAGGAGGAGGAGGAGGGAGGAGGAGGAGGAGGAGGAGGAGGAGGAGGAGGAGGAGGAGGGAGGAGGAGGAGGAAGAGGAGGAGAAAGAACGAGAAACGAACTAAAGAGGCATCGTTTGCTCACAGACACAGCTCTAAACTAGAAGGAAGAAGATAAGCCCAGTCAGTGACCCCCTTCCAGGGTCCTGCCAGACTTAGGGTGCTTGCCCCCCAGCAAGCGGCAAAGGGCCCGCCGCCTGCTGGGGGGCCAAGTCTTGGGGGGCCAGGGCAGGGGGCCCCAAACGCCTTCCCCACCCTGACGGACCCGTAAGCCCCGCACCGCCGACGCCAGAAGACCGCACCCGTGGCAGTAACGTCGTGTCCCCAGGAGCGGTGAACCTCGGCGGCCCAGAGCCCGAGGACACACCACCAGGGCCCCCAGCCTCGCCCTCACGGGCAAGCACAGGCCCCTCCCCAGACGACCCCGCAGGGCCCAGGCCAGGCGAGGCCCCGTCCACAGACGGCCCCCCCGCCCCCACGCCAGACGCCCCATCCCCAGACAGCCCAGCACCCGCAGACCCCACCGACGCCCCAAGCAAGCGGTTGACGGCGGCAGCCTCCAGGACTTTGGCCTGTAGGATGTGAATGGCAGACGGGCGGCACCTTCGGTCGGTGCCACCCGCCAACTGTCGACGAGCCTCGGATGTTCGGGCCAGTCGCCTGCACTTCATTCAGAAAAGACGCCCTCCTACCTCCATGAGGTCATGCTCGTGGAGCAGCAAAGATAGTTTGCATTCTGCAGGCGTCGGCCTCTGTTTGCCAGCCGTAAGCACCGCGGCCTCGGCCCAGAGTTCAAGCTGGCAGCTTCCCTGGACCGCCCAACCAAAAAATACTTGGCATACTGGGCGGCCGCTGAGAGACTCTCTTTGTAGAATCTCGCATGCCCTTCGGGGACCTTGATCGGCAAGGCCCCCAGCTTGGCGAAAGAGTCCGCCCACATGTGTCCCACGAAAGGGAGGAGGAGTAGAAAGAGGACGAGGAGGAGGACGGGTCGCCTAAGCCCTTCGGAGAAACCCTCCAATCAAGCCTGCTGCCCTAAGGTGAACCCCGAGACCACGGCACCACTGTTCCACCAAAGACCGACCTCTAACGCCTGTGGGGGTGGGGGTGGGGGGGGGCAAAACACAGGCACACCCGACGCGAAAGCACACACCAAGATGAGGCTCGGTGTGTTTGTGCGTGTGTGCGTGTGTGGTTGTGTGGTTGTGTGGTTGTATGGTTGTTTGCTTCTGTGGTTGTGCGGTTGTGTGATTGTGTGTTTGTGTGCCTGTGTTTGTTCCTGTGCGTTCGCGTGTTAGTGTGCTTGTGTGTGCTTGTTTTTGTGCTTGTGTGTGCATGCGTGTACGTGTGTGCGTGTGTAAATGTGTGGTTGTGTGCGTGTGTGCTTACGATTGTGGGTGGTAGTGTAATTGTGTGGTTGTGTGTTTGTGGGTGGTGATGTGTATAGGTGTGTCTGTGTGTTTGTGTGTTTCTCTGTGTGTGTGTGAGCGTGAGCGTGTGAATGTGTGTGAGCATGAGCGTGTGCGTGTGCGTGCGCGTGCGTGTGCGTGTGCGTGTATTGTGTGCGTGTGTGCGTGAGCGTGAGCGTGTGCGGTTGCGTGTGCGTGTGCGTGTGCGTGTACAGTGCGTGCGCGTGCGCACGCGTATGCGTGTGCGCGTATGCGTGTGCGTATATGCGTGTGCGTGTGCGTGTGCGTGAGCGTGTGCGTGCGCGTGCGCGTGTGCGTGTGCGCGTGCGTGTGCGTGTGCGTATGCGTGTTCGTGCGCGCGTGCGCGTGCGTGTGCACGTGCGCGTGCGCGTGCGCGTGCGCGTGCGGTGCGCGTGCGCGTGCGCGTGCGCGTGTGCGTGTGCGTGTGCGTGTGCGTGTGCGTGTGCGTGTGCGTGTGCGTGTGCGTGTGCGTGTGCGTGTGCGCGTGCGTGTGCGTGTGCGTGTGCGCGTGCATGTGCGTGTGCGTGTGCGCGTGCATGTGCGTGTGCGTGTGTGTGTTGCTGTCGGCACCCGCTTGACGCCTGGAGGTCGGGGTTTGCCCGTCCATCTTGTCACAGAGTCGATCCCCAGACTCACCCTCAGAGGGCAGAAGCTGGCTGTCGGTAGCGCGAGCCTTTGGTGCGACAGTTTACTCGATCGGTTCTCGCTGGCTTCCAATATCGAGATCATACGCTGTCTTTATGGGGGCGGGGTGGTTTTCATTCGCTCGCTTGACTCAGGGGCTAAATCCCCGACTGGCGTCGGAGCCGCATCCAGCCGCGGCAGCGAAGGACCCTGGAGAAGACCGCAGGCGAACGCCCTCATCGTCCTCCTCGCCCTCCTCGTCCTCATCGTCCTCCTGCATCCCCCACCCCTCAAGTCGAACCCCGGACCCGTCCTGGAGAGTTCCAGCCAGAATCTCGGGCCGCATCCAAACGTGGCGACGAGAGTCCTGCCAAATGCCGAAGGACCAAAAAAAATCAAGAAGCCTCGATGATCGGAATCGTCGTCGTCCTCCGTCCGAGCCCTCCAGCTTGGGTCCTGCCCCGTCTGCTGCCACAGCGCGGAGCGCATAGACTCCGCTGTCGAAAACGTCCTGATGGCCAGCCGCCATGCGTTCGCGCGCGCCGTCGAAAACACATGCTCCCGCTCCTCCTCCGTATCCTCCCCTCGTCTCCTCCTCCTCCCTGTCGTGAGCTTTTTTTGTTCGGCGTTTCGACATTGGGCGGAAAGGGGGGCGAGGGGAGGGTCTGGCTCCAGACCTTCGAAACGTTGTGAAGAGGTTCGAGTCAGAAACCATCACGCGCTCAGGCAAAATTGTTTAGGCCAATTTGGATCAACTGCTACACGTTCGAGTGTCCCTACGTTTTTGGCTCGAAAAAGCTCTTGGTCAACTGGGGCTTCGCCGCCAAATCCATTGAGATCGAGAAACCACATGCTCCATGAAGTTCTGGATCGACACCGTGCTGGTCAATACCAGTTCAGACTGTAAGTTGAAACATACATGGTTGAAGCCGCTTGGAAAACGTGGGACGCGCTGCACAACGACGAGGATTTCAAATCCGTGCGTAACAAATGCCAGAATTCGTTACAGCAGGCCGCTGACAAGGGCAAGGGGAAAAGAAAACCTGCTAGGCAGGAGTGGGGACAGAACTGGCCAAACCAAGTTTCGCCCCCTACCTTGACAGGGGAAGTTCACATTTACACAAAGAATGCAAGATTAAGGACGAACGCGCAATTGACAGAGTTATAATCAGAGCTTGTAGCGAGACGCGGGCACCATCATCTGAACTCACACTCGAGGGCGGCAACACATTGTTTCTCGATCTGGGGAACTATGTCGCTGTAGGCGTCGGCACCTTGGTACACGAGCGCCACGTCCCCAACATCAGAAAATTATGGACATGCAGCGACCGTGTTCTCATTGGTATCGAAAGTGTAATGCATAGCCGCTTGCGCACATGCTTCGCAGTATAGTGCCGCATGCTGGGTTTGCATAGGATGCCCTCGATTAGTTTTACAATGACCTCGACGGCATGGTGCGCACGTCCCAGAAGCAGAACAAGAAGAGCCTTGTTGTCATTGGTGGAGATAAGAACTCTCAATTCAATATTGGGCCCCGTGGTCAGAGACTCAACGAATTTACAGCGGCACACGGCTTCAAATAGCGAATTTCCCGCCAAGGCTTCAGTACGCAGACCTCTGGACGTTCCTCTCAAGCATGGGCATTACAGGTTGCATCGATGTCAGTATGCTGCCACGCGCGGCGCGGGTGGAGCGGAGTGCAGCGATCCGTTCTTTGTGCTTGGGCTCCGACCGTCAGGCTGCATACGCACACGTACGTACCAAGACGTCCGGCCAGAGGCGCACAGCCAGGTATGACCCTCGAGGCGGGGAGCCTGGCCAGGATCACGCGTAGTGTCACGACGTGGATGCGTGCTTGCGCGCGTGTTCGCCAACATGCCTTTCCGACCTGGATCTTTGCGCGACCACCGCTGCGCCAGGGCATGACAAACGAACGAGCAGTCAGCCAGCCTTCTGGGCCGACCATGTTTTCCAAGATCTTCTCCGCCAATGTCGTGCTCTCCCAAGCGGGTGTGCAGACAGAAGAGACATCTCCATACGAATTCGCAGGGCAATGCGGGCCGAACTCCTGAAACAAAGAGCCATGCGCACCCAACAAATTCTGACCGAGTTCCGTGACCTACACCGACTCGCAGAGGCGAAGCTGTTTCAGTCAAGGAAGTGGAAGGAACTGGGTAACGCAAAATGCACCCTGAGGCGTGTGCCTGCGGAACTGTCGGGTCATCGAGGTCCCATCAATATTCCTGCGTTCACGAGGGAAGAGTTTGGCAAAGCAATCAAGGTGCTGAACAACAGGAGAGGCGCCGACACAGATGGCATCGTCGCAGAAATCTTCATGCATGCCTCCAACACTTCCCTGGAATACCTGCTACACATGTATAACGATATAGTGCGCACGGGGTTTCTGGAGAATTCGTGGAAATATACTCGTTTACCATGATGCCCAAAATCGGGGATCTGTCGCAGCCGAAGAATTGAAGGCCGAACGCTGTCCTCAAGATGACCTACTATATATCCTCCCGGATGCTCTACCACCGCCTACGGGACGTCCTGGAAAGTGTTCTAGGACCTAACCAAGTTGGCTTCAGACAAAAGATCATTCGGTAGGAGACGCCTTCTTGGTGTTTGAAGTTGTTTGCAGTAAGTGCTTCGAATGGGGCGCGCCGCTCTGGTGTTCAAGTCTCGACGTACGCAAGGCCTTCGACCGGATCGAATCTGCTTCATCGTCCCGAGCCCTACGTAACTTAGATGTGGATGCAGACCACGTCGCTCTGTTGGCGCCGTTGTATTCCAACCAGAAAGGTTACGTAGCCCGGGCGCAGCCATTCCAAACACAACGTGGAATCAAACAGGGAGACGTCATCAGCCCAACGTTGTTCAATGCTGGATAAGAAGTGACAGTGGCAAGATGGAAGCAGCGCGTAGGGGATGCTGGTGCCCCCCCTGGGGAATTGGAGGATGCTCACGAGTGCTCGACACGCAGATGACACGATGCTGCAAGCGCAAGTCGGCAGACGAGCTGGCGAGCATGCTGGAAGTGCTGATGGAAGCAGCTGTTGGCTTGCACCTGGTTGGCGGTGCGCACAAGGGGGTGGAGAGAGGGGGGAGGGCTTCTTAGGAGGAGGCTGCTTCTTAGAAGGCGCTGGCCTTACATCTGTAGAGAAGGCCCACGCCTTGTAAGAAGCAGGGGTGCTTTTAATAAGCCCTCCCCCCTCCCCCCACCTCCCTCTGCGCGTGGCTGACCTGAACAAGGACAAGACGAAGGTTCTCACTTCCGAGGAGACGGCCAGAGCCACGCTTATCGAGGCCGAAGAAACACGCTCAAGGTCATGAGCGGCACGGACACGCATCAAAACCATGGGAGGACGTTGTCGGCGAACTTGAGGGACCGCACCACAACTGAACTAAGACAACGAACTCGACGAGCTGGGCAGCAAGTTCATGAACATCGTCACGCGCTCACAGACCAAAATGTGTCAGTTCGCCGAAGGCTCAAATTATTGCAATATGTGGTCACAGTAACTCTATATTTGGGCTGGCATGTCTGCATCTGACAAAGCAACAGTTGGGTTCTCTAGACGCCATCCAAAACAAAATGTTCCACTTGATTGTTGAATGGAGAAGAGTGTGGGCCGACACTATGCGAAAGACGAGGGACAGGAACAACGATGCCTTGGTGTATTTTCCGATTGGAAATTGGAGCGCTCTGGTGTGTCGCCGCGTGTTTAAATCTGTCGCCGCTTGTTTAAAAATGCTGGCAAGTCCATCAATTCAGAGGCGGATTGAGTTCATGTGGTTATCGGATGGAGACCGGCGAGCACGCGTGGCGCCTCGAGGGCTCGAGGGATCGAGGGCTCGAGGCCGTCCGCCAAAACAAGATGGGACGACCGGATGGCATCGCTCACGCGTGACATTTTGAACACAGCATCTCACTGGACTGCATGCAGTGCAGAAGAGGACGAGGACGCGTTCGTGGAGCATTGCTTGCAGACACAAAGACGGGCCACTTGTCTCCCTCCCCCCCCACTCCCTCCCGTCCCCCTCTCGTCCCCTTCCCTCTCCCCCCCCCCTCTGCGCAGTGGCACAAAGCTTGCTCACTCGTCGTGCACGTCCTTCACATCATGCATGTAGGTCGCACTGCTTCTGATTTTCCAAATCGTGCCACGCCCGTTCACGGGCCAACCTGTTGGTTTGACCAGGCCTCTGCCTGCGATGGCACCCAACAGCGCCTGAGGGGCATCCACAGCTCAGCTCGACACCACCATCACCATCAGGATGCCCGCGATCATTATTATCACGGTCCTCCGCTCCCTCCCCCGCGACCTCCATTAGCCAAATGCTCAAAGTACGTCCACCCTCATTTTTTCCATCCGTTCGAATCGGCTAAGACTGCAAAATCGGGGCTGCATACCCTGCCAAGGGGGGAAGTAGGGGAGGAAGAAAAGGGGGGTGAGAAGGAGTGCCCGAAATCCAGAGGATGAGGTGGAACGATGATTTCCCCTCCGACTCCGATACCCTCCTCTTCACAATTCAGCAGCCTGCTGATTCCGTGTGCGCACTTACACACTGCTCTACCCGCTCTCTTCCCACTGCCTCTTTGCCTTGCTGCTGCTCGCGTCTGCGTGTTCACGCGCGCCTCTTCTTGCTGATGCGCTCGACCCAACGGGTGTGCTCCCCGCGACCGCGCAGAGCAGAACAGAGCCGGAGCTCCAGCAATCTCCGCATGCACCCTGGTTGCGGACTTGGCCGCGGCTGGACCAGTCGGAGGTGCAGCTGGCCTGCAGGCTGGATGTCGCCGCGTCATCCAACTTTTTAAACCGGTCGAGCCGCCTGCTGAGAAGCCGCCTGAGGGGTGGGGAGCACCCCAGATCCCGTCCTTCTCTCCATGGTATCCCCCCCGCTCCCCCTTCCTCCTTTTTCATCCTCCTCTTCCTCCCCCTCCCCTTCCCCCCGTTTCCTCCTCCTCCTACTCCTCCTCCTCCTCCTCCTCCTCCTCCTCCTCCTCCTCCTTCTGTCGATCCTGTGGATCATTGTCCCTCCATGCGAAAGACCACGGTGGACCGCGAGCGAACGGGCGACCGCGGACAGGCCAGCGCCGCGCCTCCCTCGTGCTCGACGTCCAGGGAGCACGCGAGCTCCAGGAAGCGAGGCCGAAAACACTGCGGAGGGCGGAAACCTCTCGACTCCGTGCTGGGGTACTCCAGCAAAGAACAGCACGGCCGTGCGTCTCGGAACCGGCCTCCTCTTCCACGACCATGGCCGAATCCGAGGCGCTGATAGCGATGCCGAAGCCATGGACCACCAGTTCGTCGATGTCGGAATCGCTCCCGGGGCGCAGCTCCAGCGCACAGCTTTCGCGAGCACCACACGAGCCCGAGCTGCGGAAGGCACCTCCCTGCACGGCCGGTGGCGTCGTCGGCCTGCTCCCCGACGCTGGCGCCCCAGGCATCGCTCGGACGTCCATTTCCCGTGCAGTTATCGGTTTCGTGCGTGTTTTTTTGCTCGATGATCCAGGATGGTCCTCGATAGTTCTCGCCGAGAAAAAATACACACGTCCGAGCGATGCCCGGCGCCACCCACAGAGCCGTCCACCGCGGGGAAGTGGAACCCCACGGTGGGATGCTGAATGCACCCCTCAACCTCCTCCATGTCGGGGAAAACGTCCTCGACGAACTCGGAGATCGACCCCTCGGAAGAAGCACCATACGCCAGGTATGAATGGCCTGGCATCCGCTCGCAGCGGATGGGAATTGCCAAGGCGCTCACCGTCTTGAGGCCCTCGCAACTCAGCAGCCGATACGGTAGATAGACACAACCCATTGGCCCTCGAGTGGTGGGCCACATCCCTCCTGCGCATGGCGGTGCCAGAGCGAACCTGGTTGTCGATCTCTGCTTGCAAACACCAGGAACGACAACGACGAACCGTTCCAGGACAACACCACGAACGTCCAGGAGGACCAGCATCCTGAACAAAAGGTCAGAATACCTGTGCATTCCAGCGCTCGTCGCCGAGGCCCTAAACAGCATGGTCGGAACACCGCCGAGCCCAATCTCGCCTGGCCTTCCGATTAGCAGCAGACCTCGATGGGCGCACATCACCCGCGCCCTCCAACGCTCTCCCAAGCAGCGCAGCAAGAACCCACTGGCGGCAACACCATGCGCGAGGCCGGCTTGAACCAATGGGGGGTTCGCCCGGTGCGGGCGGCCTGAGAAAAACTGGCTACGGACCTCCCCCTTCTCCTCCTCCTCCTCCTCCTCCTCCTCCTCCTCCTCCTCATCATCATCATCATCATCATCATCATCATCATCATCATCATCATCATCATCATCATCATCATCATCATCATCATCATCATCTCATCATCCTCCTCCTCCTCCTCCTCCTCCTCCTCCTCCTCCTCCTCCTCCCCATCCCGCCCAACCCTCCTCATCCCTCCTCTCCCATTCCCATTCCCCCTCCCCCCTCGTCTTTAATCCGCCCCTCCCTTCCTCTCTCCGGTTTCCCATCAACGGCACCTGCCAGCCTGAGCGACAAAGAAGACGCGATCTCAAACACGGCGGCGCAGCGTCATTACGCGATGGATCACGCAGGCCGCACACGCGGCTCGCCGCGTCGACAAGAGGGCGCCCGCCCGCGACCTTACGTCGGCAGTCTCTGCGCGAGTGTCCGCGTAGTCGACCACCCTTCGGCACGTCACTCATATCATCGTCGATCTACATGGTGTGTATACATGCACACATGAACATGTGGATGCATCAAACTGCCACCGTGCCTTCAGCACGTAGTGGAGTGCCCCATTCTAAGGGCTGGGGGCCTAAAATCTCAACTTTCCTGGGCGTATCGGCCCGTTGTTGTGAACTGCCTCGCATGGTTTTTCCAAAAGCCAGAGAGCCCCAAGACGGGCCAAGAGGGCCCCAGAAAGCGCCCAAGAGGGTCCAAGAGGCCTCCAAGACAGCCCAAGAGCGCTTCAAGACGCCCAAGATGGCCCCAAGACGGCCCAAGAGGCGCCCCCAAGAGGCCTCAAAACTGTATCCAAGAGGCCCCCGAGAGGCCTCCCACGATATCCAAACGAACATCCAAGAGGCCTCTAACCCAGAACCCAGGCACGATGGTGGGATGGGCCGAAGGCCACTACCTGTCTATATCGTTGTGTATATATAGAGATGTGTAGATGCAACGATGTATTACATGTTTAAATGTGTATGTATATACATGTATATATATGTATAGGTGTATGTATGTACGTGCGTATGTGTATATGCGCATGTGTGATTGCATGTGTATATGTATGTATGCATGCATGCATGAAGGCAGGTAGGTAGGCAGGTAGGTAGGTAGGTAGGTGTGTACGTATGGGTGTATGTGTGTGTGCACGCATGTATGCATGCATGCATATATGTATGTATGCATGCACGTATGTACGTATGTATGCATATGCGTACACATGCGTGCATTTATGTACTCATGTGTGCATAACTGTATGCATGTTTGTATGTAGGCATGCAGGTGTGCATGTGTGTGTATATGTATGTAGTTGTATGTGTATGTGTGAAATAATGTGTGTGTGCATGCATGTATGTATGTATGTATGTGTGTATATGTTTGTATGTATGTATGTTTGTATGCATGTATGTATGTATGCATGCATGCATGCATGCATGCATGCATGTATGTGTATGTGTATATATATAGGTGTATAGTAATGTGTGTATGTATGTGCATGTATGTGTGTACGTGTGTATGTGTATATGTGTATGTGTGTAAATCAGTATGTATGTATGTATGTATGTACACATGCATGTCTGAATGTATGTATGCCTATATGTATGCATATGTGTGAATGTATGTGCGTAATTGGTTATGTTTGAATGACAATGTGTATGCACTTATGTGTACGTGTGTATGGTTGTATGTGTGTGTATGTATGTGCATGTAGGTACGTATGTACGTGTGTAAATGTATATGCATATGTTTATATCGAGAAAGCAGCAGCGTTGATTCCAAATAGATTAGACGACTCAAAGCAAGGAATCAGAAGGATCAAGCATGCTTGGAATCCGCAACTCAGCAAGCAAGCGCGCAAACAAGCGCGCAAGCGCGCAAGCAAGCAAGCAAGCAAGCAAGCGTGCAAGCGCGCAAGCGCCCAAGCAAGCAAGCAGGCAGGCAGGCATAGGCATAGGCGTAGGCATAGAAGTTAGGGGGGAGGCATAGGCATAGGAATAGGCATAGCCATAGGAATTAGGGGGGCATAGGAATTTTGGGGGGGCAATGGACCAATTAGTAGGGTTTGAGCTAGTAGGGCACCCCCATGTGTAAACACGTGTATAAATGCACATGTGTATATATGTGTGAAATGTGCACAATGCTTGTAAATTCGCCAGCCCAGAGGGCCAGAGGCGTGCTAAGATCTCCAGTAACTGCGTACAGTATTTCTACTTCGCGCGCGCGGAGCGGCCCCTGGGGGTCCCCAGACGAAAAATAAATACCCCGGGCGGTCCCCAACCAGTTCGGGTCAGAGATCCCTGGCTGGGTCGGGTCGGGTGGGCGCCGCCCTCGAGGCCCTCCAGAAAGCCCCAAGAAGTGCCAAGAGGCCCCCAAGTGGCCCCCAAGATAGAACAAGAGGGCTCCGAGATGCCACAAGATCGCTCCAAGATGCCCAAGATTGTACCCAGACGCCCCAAGAAGCTTCCTAAAGCACTCCCAAGAGGGCCCCAAGAGGTAAAATTCATTGATTGTCCTAAGGTTTTGGACAGAATTGGGCGTTTCCCCCTTTTCGGCTTCCCGACGCCTTAAGACGGCCCAAGAGGTCCCCAAGATCGCCCCAAGAGGGTCCAAGAGGGCCCCAAGAGAGCCCCAAGACGGCCCAAGAGGGCTCCAGGACCGCCCAAGACGACGCCAAGACGGCCCAAGAAGGCCCCAAGAACGCCCCAAGAGAGGCCCCAGAGGGGGAACCCGAAACAACATGTCGAGCCCTCAGCCATAAGCAGCCCCCAGGAGGTCCCCCAGAGGTCCCTAAGAGGCCCCAAGAGACCCCCAACAGGCGGTCAGGAGGCCGCCAAGAGGCCTCCAAGAGCCCCAAGACGTCCCCGAAAGCCTCAGAGAACTCCCGAGAGCTTCCTGTGCACTGCCTCCAGGTGCGCGAAAATGGACCGGCGGACTGAGCGAAGCGATTCAATGTATACACACACCGTCACTCTCTCTCTCTCTCTCTTTCTCTCTCTCTCTCTCTCTCTTTTTTTCTCTCTCTCTCTCTCTCTCTCTCTCTCTCTCTCTCTCTATAGATATATATATATATATATATATATATACCACTCTCGATATATATATATATATATATATATATATATATATATATATTGTAAGCTCCCTCTCTCTCTCTCTACATCGCTGGTTTCCCCAAGACATGCGATGCCCACGGACGCCTCGATCCCAGAGAGGGTTTTTTGTTCGCCCCAGGTCCCGCTTGACTACCCCAGGGGCCCAAGCGGACATCCAGGGGACCAAAGAGCCAGAAAACCGCGCGCCACTATTGTCGTTGCGAAGGGGATCAGGGTCTCAGGCCTCGCAGCAGACCCCCGAACCTCTCCTGGAAAGCGTCCTGGCCAGGACCTCGGGATGGATCCAGCCACGGCGGCGACGAGAACGCCACAGGCGGCGAACAAAAACACCAACACCGCCCAGGAATCTCGGACACCGCCGAGCCTCGACTCCCCTTCCCACGCTCGTCCGCCACGGCTGGCGCCTGGAGGAGTCCATCCAGGAACCACCCTGGCCCCCGAGGATGCTGTGAAACTCATCGGGCGACCAGTCGGCGTACTTCGTGATCCCGTGCTTGGCAGGGTTGCCCAGCCCGCTCAGGTTGGCCTGCGCGGGAGGGACAACGCAGGGGAGGGGGGACAGATGGAGAACGGAGGAGGGCCTCGACGCTCTTCGCCCCGTCTGGGCCTCCTGGGGATCCCTCGCCGCCGCGGCCGGATTCGCCCCGAGGTCCTCCTGAGCGCACCCAGGGCGAGGTCCGAGGGTCGACTCTCGGGCCTGGGACCCGGACCTCCTGCGCGAAAAGACGGCAGCGCCAGCTGGCCCGCCCGAGCTTGAGGCAGGCCTGTGGTGGATGCCCCCACTCGGGCCCCAGGGCCATGAAGCCACGGCTCGCGGCCGCACGCTGGCCGAGGGGACGGGGCCGAGAGCCCCAGGGACCCCAGGCCGTGAAGGAACACGATGTCCAGTGCTCCCGACGTCGCGATGAGTTCGCGGCATGCCTCCCCAGAGGCCTGGACCCCTTCCTATGGGACCGGCTTCACATCCCGATTCGGTGTCTGACGGCCCCGGGCATCCAAGAGGGCCCCCAAAACGGCCCAAGAGGCGCCCATGAGGGCCCAAGAGGCCCAAAGGAGGCCCAGATGGGGGATCCGAACGGACATTTTGAGCCCTCGGCCCCGAGGGGCCCCCAGGAGGCCCCAGGAGGCCCCAGGAGGCCCCCAAGAGGATCCAAGAGGCCCCAAGAGGCCCCAAGAGGCCCCCGAGAGGCTGCCGAGAGAGGTGCCCCACAAGAAGCCCCCAAGAGCGCTCCCAAGAGACCCGAAGAAGCAGCATCCCTGAGAGCTCTGACCCACAACCCAGGCACGGTGGCGGAATGGGCCGAAGGCCATTAGATCCGCCGCCCCCTGCTTGCAGGGGTGCACGGCGTGCTGGATGTTTCAGGTTTTGGTGTTGGTTCTTTTTCCAAAAGAACTCCCCAGTGGGCTCCGGCCCGTCCCGCCGGGGTCCCGGGAGGAAGCCGAAAACACCTCAATCCGGAAAAAAATCCTCCAAAAACGGCCGTTTCGCTCGGGACATCCTCAAAAAATCGCGAAGATGGCCCAAGATGGCCTCCAAGTCCGCCCGAGATGGTCCAAGACGGCCTCCAAAACGGCCCAAGAGAGTCCAAGACGGCCCAAGACGGCCCAAGAGGCCCCCCAGAGGCCTCCCAGACGGCCCAAGAGGCCTCCAAGAGGTCCTCCAGGAGAGTCCGAAGAGGCCAAAATCATTGATTTTCCGTTGGTTTTTGAAGGATTTGGGCATTTGCGCCTTTTCGGCTCTCCGACGGCTCAAGACGGCCCAAGAAGCCCCCAAGATCGCCCAAGAGGCCCCCAAGAGAGCCCCCTGATGGCCCAAGTGGCCTCCAAGATGGCCCCTAGAGGGCCCCAAGACGGCCCAAGAGGCCTCCAACACGCCCAAGATGGCCTCCAAGACGCCCAAGATGGCCTCCAAGACGGCCCTGGAGCGCCCCAAGAGGGTCCCCCGTTGGCCCAGAAAGGCCCCCAAAACGGCTCCCGACGGCGTCAGACGTGCCAGGAACCCACCAAGATGGCCGAAGTTGGCTCGAAGCTGGCCCAAAAGGGCCCAAGAGGCCCCCAAGAGGGCCTCCAGGAAGGCCAAAAGATGCCAAAATCACTGATTTTCCCAAGGTTTTTGATGGATTTGGGCATTTCCCTTTTTTCGGCCTTCCGACGGCCCGAGACGGCCCAAGAGCCCCCAAAGATCGCCGAAAGATCGCCCAAGAGGCCTCCAAGACGGCGACGATGACCATCAAGACGCCCACGTGTTCCCCGAAGGCTTTCCAAACCGATTCGGGGAACACATGGTCCGATGGCTTGGCAGGTCTGGCCTCAACGTTCGGCCACATAGGCGCTTCCACAAAGGCAGGGGGCGGCGGTGATTCGCCGTAGGCGTCTTCGATCCGCCGCCCCCTGCTTGCAGGGGTGCACGGCGTGCTGGATGTTTCAGGTTTTGGTTTTGGTTCTTTTTCCAAAAGAACTCCCCAGTGGGCTCCGGCCCGTCCCGCCGGGGTCCCGGGAGGAAGCCGAAAGGACCTCAATCCGGAAAAAAATCCTCCAAAAAACGGCCGTTTCGCTCGGGACATCCTCAAAAAATCGCGAAGATGGCCCAAGATGGCCTCCAAGTCCGCCCGAGATGGTCCAAGACGGCCTCCAAAACGGCCCAAGAGAGTCCAAGACGGCCCAAGACGGTCCAAGAGGTCCTCCAGGAGAGTCCGAAGAGGCCAAAATCATTGATTTTCCATGGGTTTTTGAAGGATTCTGGCATTTGCGCCTTTTCGGCTCTCCGACGGCTCGAGACGGCCCAAGAAGCCCCCAAGATCGCCCAAGAGGCCCCCAAGAGAGCCCCATGATGGCCCAAGTGGCCTCCAAGATGGCCCCTAGAGGGCCCCAAGAGGGCCCAAGAGGCCTCCAACACGCCCAAGATGGCCTCCCAGACGCCCAAGATGGCCTCCAAGACGGCCCTGGAGCATTCCAAGCGGGCCCCAAGTCGGCCCATAGAGGCCCCCCAAACGGCTTCCGACGGCTTCAGACGTGCCAGGAACCCACCAAGATGGCCGAAGTTGGCTCGAAGCTGGCCCGAGACGGCCCAAAAAGCCCCAAAGATCGCCCAAAGCTTGCCCAAGAGGCCTCCAAGACGGCCAAGATGACCTTCAAGATGCCCACGTGTTCCCCGAAGGCTTTCCAAACCGATTCGGGGAACACGTGGTCCGATAGCTTGGCAGGTCTGGCCTCAACGTTCGGCCACATAGGCGCTTCCAAAAAGGCATGGGGCGGCGGTGATTCGCCGTAGGCGTCTGCGATCCGCCGCCCCCTGCTTGCAGGGGTGCACGGCGTGCTGGATGTTTCAGGTTTTGGTTTTGGTTCTTTTTCCAAAAGAACTCCCCAGTGGGCTCCGGCAGAACCCGCCGGCCACCCGGAAGGCCCCCAAACGTGCTCAACGACCGGAAAAAATCCTCCAAAAAACGGCCGTTTCGCTCGGGACATCCTCAAAAAATCGCGAAGATGGCCCAAGATGGCCTCCAAGTCCGCCCGAGATGGTCCAAGACGGCCTCCAAAACGGCCCAAGAGAGTCCAAGACGGCCCAAGACGGCCCAAGAGGCCCCCCAGAGGCCTCCCAGACGGCCCAAGAGGCCTCCAAGAGGTCCTCCAGGAGAGTCCGAAGAGGCCAAAATCATTGATTTTCCATTGGTTTTTGAAGGATTTTGGCATTTGCGCCTTTTCGGCTCTCCGACGGCTCAAGACGGCCCAAGAAGCCCCCAAGATCGCCCAAGAGGCCCCCAAGAGAGCCCCATGATGGCCCAAGTGGCCTCCAAGATGGCCCCTAGAGGGCCCCAAGAGGGCCCAAGAGGCCTCCAACACGCCCAAGATGGCCTCCCAGACGCCCAAGATGGCCTCCAAGACGGCCCTGGAGCATTCCAAGCGGGCCCCAAGTCGGCCCATAGAGGCCCCCCAAACGGCTTCCGACGGCTTCAGACGTGCCAGGAACCCACCAAGATGGCCGAAGTTGGCTCGAAGCTGGCCCGAGACGGCCCAAAAAGCCCCAAAGATCGCCCAAAGCTTGCCCAAGAGGCCTCCAAGACGGCCAAGATGACCTTCAAGATGCCCACGTGTTCCCCGAAGGCTTTCCAAACCGATTCGGGGAACACGTGGTCCGATAGCTTGGCAGGTCTGGCCTCAACGTTCGGCCACATAGGCGCTTCCAAAAAGGCAGGGGGCGGCGGTGATTCGCCGTAGGCGTCTTCGATCCGCCGCCCCCTGCTTGCAGGGGTGCACGGCGTGCTGGACGATTCAGGTTTTGGTTTTGGTTCTTTTTCTAAAAGAACTCCCCAGTGGGCTTCGGCCCGTCCCGCCGGCCACCCGTAAATCTCATAAAACCCATCTGTCAATGCCCAAAAACGGCCGTTTCGCTCGGGACATCCTCAAACAATCGCGAAGATGGCCCAAGATGGCCTCCAAGTCCGCCCGAGATGGTCCAAGACGGCCTCCAAAACGGCCCAAGAGAGTCCAAGACGGCCCAAGACGGCCCAAGAGGCCCCCCAGAGGCCTCCCAGACGGCCCAAGAGGCCTCCAAGAGGTCCTCCAGGAGAGTCCGAAGAGGCCAAAATCATTGATTTTCCCTGGTTTTTGCAGGATTTTGGCATTTCTCATAAAACCCATCTGTCAATGCCCAAAAACGGCCGTTTCGCTCGGGACATCCTCAAAAAATCGCGAAGATGGCCCCAGATGGCCTCCAAGTCCGCCCGAGATGGTCCAAGACGGCCTCCAAAACGGCCCAAGAGAGTCCAAGACGGCCCAAGACGGCCCAAGAGGCCCCCCAGAGGCCTCCCAGACGGCCCAAGAGGCCTCCAAGAGGTCCTCCAGGAGAGTCCGAAGAGGCCAAAATCATTGATTTTCCTTGGTTTTTGAAGGATTTTGGCATTTGCGCCTTTTCGGCTCTCCGACGGCTCGAGACGGCCCAAGAAGCCCCCAAGATCGCCCAAGAGGCCCCCAAGAGAGCCCCATGATGGCCCAAGTGGCCTCCAAGATGGCCCCTAGAGGGCCCCAAGAGGGCCCAAGAGGCCTCCAACACGCCCAAGATGGCCTCCAAGACGCCCAAGATGGCCTCCAAGACGGCCCTGGAGCATTCCAAGCGGGCCCCAAGTCGGCCCATAGAGGCCCCCCAAACGGCTTCCGACGGCTTCAGACGTGCCAGGAACCCACCAAGATGGCCGAAGTTGGCTCGAAGCTGGCCCGAGACGGCCCAAAAAGCCCCAAAGATCGCCCAAAGCTTGCCCAAGAGGCCTCCAAGACGGCCAAGATGACCTTCAAGATGCCCACGTGTTCCCCGAAGGCTTTCCAAACCGATTCGGGGAACACGTGGTCCGATAGCTTGGCAGGTCTGGCCTCAACGTTCGGCCACATAGGCGCTTCCAAAAAGGCAGGGGGCGGCGGTGATTCGCCGTAGGCGTCTTCGATTTAGGTCGGGCATGTCCTCCTACAGGCAGATCTTGGAGGAAGAATGAAAAATAATGACGAACATACTCCAACATTTTTAGAAATAGCCGG